GTCTGTAATCCATGTCACAAGTGAAGATGATGCATTGTCAAAGCTTTTGTCAATAAATCATGGAATAGTGAGACCAATCAGCCCATTGTGTCTGTGCCAGCTCTTTGAAAGTGTTATTCAACCAGTCCCACTCTCTTGTCTTTCCCCCTTCAATTCTAAGTCTATATCTAACTCCCTTTTGTTCTATTGAATAATCATCCACCAGCCTTTCAACAAGTGCATTCCAAATCATAATTCACTGCATTCAAAATTCTCATCTCACCTGTCTTTTAATCAAATACATTCAGTCTGTATTATCTGGGGACTGAGCTTCTGGTACTGGAAACACTTTTTCCTTATTGAATGTACAGCAACCTTCCATGATTTTGAACAACTTTTTCAAATTCCCCTTTGATCACTTCTGTTCAAAGGAGAACAATCCCAGTTTCTCTCATCTCTTCATGTCACTCAAGCAGAGATTGACATTTTTAGTAAGCTCTAGAAAGAAGCCAACAGCCTATTCAATGCTGCAATGTGATATACTTTTTGAGCAACATTGTGGAAACTTGCTCCTTTTGGTGACCAGGGTTTGTACCTCACCTTGGAGCTGATGTCCGCTCAGATAACTTGAAGTAGAATAGTGCTGTTCTCCTGACATCAGTATCCCTGACCTTGACAAGCAGAAAAATTGACAAATTTAGGGACATGGATGATTATATTCTTCTATGTATGGAGTCTTCAATCAAAAAAGTCTACCTTCTTCACTTGAAGTAAATGGCTCTTAACACTGTTCAGCATGAAGCACCATTTGCACCATTTCACCACCCAGGGACAGATCCTAGGATCCTCTTACAAAGACAGTCTCCTAATTCATGATTCATATTTCTGAATATCATCCCTTCTAATATCTGAAAATCTCCAGGGGAGGGCATCTCAATCACATGAAGGCTACTGAAAATTACTTTTCAAATCTTTGCTTCAACTGTGCCGATTTCTAGGCTGAAGAGCACATAAAAGCTGCTGTTAAAGCTTTAAGACGAGCTTCCCTGTTGTGAGGGAGTCTGTGGATGGAAGTATTGTTCAGAGTGGAGCAGATAGTTGATCACAGGAGGGTGTTCCACTGACGTTCTTTCACACGGCTAACAGTCCATGAAACTTGCCGAGGAGAAAACTGAAGTATCACAAGGTTCAGTTCCTGGCACCTGTGTGTTGCCTTGATGAATGACAGCTTCAAAAGATAAGAGAGTTCTGCACTCAGCAGCACTGAACTGGCAGAGACAAAAACCTGCTGTGAACTTAGTGAAGCTGACAGGCTACGGAGTGAGCCACTGCAGAAAGGGGTGATTAAGTCATAAAGTGAGGAGAACTTGCGCTCTGATAGTGATGCCATTAGTATAGGGGACTTCAGTGCCCAGCTAGCTGGCTGATCAGTTGCTGTTTACCTTGTGAGTGACAAGACTGTGGACTGCACTCCTACATGGTGTGGTTGAGGCAAAGAAGATTGATGGGGATGGAGAAGGGGAAACTCCTTCAGCAACAGTACGGGGATAGGAACATATGTAGATGGGGTGAAATGAAAAGGAGATAGTAGAAGGCTCATATGGAGCATGAGACTGATTGAGAACAATTAGGCCAAAAGTCCTGTTGTGTAGATTCTATGAAACTAATCCTGCCAAATTTCTTGGAGTAAACCTTAATTAAATGACGAATGATTAATGCTGACCAAAATGAGTGTGATACTGGGAGGATCATTGAAATTGAGCATCTGCTACAGCTTAAAGGGCCTGCTTACCAGCTGGGGAGACAGAGGGGAATGGACCTTCTTATTTTACAACAAGCTAAGTGGTGGTGTCATGATGATGTCCTGAAGCAAATGTTCTGGGATATGGGTACGATACTCACTATGTTGGACAGTGAATTCTGAATTCTATAAAATTCTGAAATAAAGAGCTAACCGAATATTGGCCACATAACCACTGTTGATTGTCATAGAGGTCGACAGTGTGGAATGAGGCCCTTCGGCACACCCCCTTCATGTCTGCACTGGTCGTCAAGCACCTGTCCAATTACTCTAATACAATTGTCTAGCATTTGGTTTGTAGCCTTGGTTGCTATGGCACTTCAAATGATCATCTAAATACTTTGTAATTATTAAGATGGTTCCTGCATGCACAGTCTTTCCATTCACTGCATTCAAGATATCGACTGCCTTCTAAGTGAAAAAATTCTTCCTTAAATCCCCTCAAATCATCCTGCCCTTTACCTTAAATCTATGCCCCCTGGCTATTGATCCTTCAACTCAGGGGGAGTGTTTCTTTCTATCTACCCAATCTTTGCCTCTCAAAACATTTTTCACCTCAAGCCATCTCTACTCTAAGGAAGGCAGCCCCAGTCTATCTAGTTTCTCTTTATAGCCGAATCACTCCAACCCAGGTGAATCTCTTCTGCACCTTCTCCAGTGCAAGTACATCCTTCCAATTGTGCGGTGACCAGAACTGCATGCAGCACATCAGTTGGGGCCAACTAATGTCTTATACAGCTTTATCATAACCTTCTGAGGAAGCGTGACTGGACCCGAAACGTTAACTGTTTTTTCCTTCACAGATGCTGCCAGACTTGCTGAGTTTTTCCAGCAACTTTGTTTTTGTTCCTGATTTACAGCATCCGCAGTTCTTTCGGTTTTTATTTATCATAACCTCCCTGCTCTTGCATTCAACGTCTCACTAATAAAGTATCCTTCTTAACTACTTTATTCATCTGTCCTGTTGCCTTCAAACCTTGTCAATAAATGGTTCACTCATGTCCTTTAGTGAAGGAAATCTACCATCCTCACCTGGTCTGGCCTACGTAGGGGAGGGGACGGCCTATTGGTAATGTTCTGGGGACCTGGGTTTGAATCATGCCATGGTAGATGATGGAATTTGAGTTCAATAAAAGTCTGGAATTAAGAGTCTAATGATGACCATGAATCCATTGCCAATTGTTGGGAAAAATCTCATCTGGCTCACAGATGTCCTTTAGGGAAGGGAACTGCCATCCTTACCCACATGTGACTCCAGACCCACTGAAATGTGATTCACTCTTAAGTGCCCCCTTGACAATTAAGGATGGCAATAAATGCAAGCCCAGCCAGTGACACCCACATTCCATGAACAATTCAAAGAAAAGATTCAGGATATATATGAAACTACCTCTTGCTGGTGTCAGACTAGCAAAGAGGAGTGAAAGCTTAAGAGAGGAAATATATTTTAGGTAGGTTCTTGTCTGCATTGGGTGAAGCAGATTAAAAGCAGGAAGACAAAAACATTACTTTGTTGTTAGGTGCATGGTCAGAATTGAGCTGTAATTTTAGATGTCGGCTTGCATGAGTAAATCTTGTACAGCTCTGAGCAGCTGATAATCTTGAAATTTGAAATGAGATGTGGTTGCAGTGAACAGGTTTTCTTGTTTATTATGAATTAACAACCAACCAGATGGTATTACTTTTTATTTCTTGAACTGGGATTAAAGGTCAACTCCTGGAACATTAATAACAATTCCACTATCACATGAACTCTCTGTTCCTTTCCAGCATTCAAAGTAATGTCACAGTATTGCCCTGAATCTAAACAGCCGAAATTGGATTTCTACAGTCATGTAAATGTTCCAATATCACTTTGACTGCTAAGTATTAGTTAAAATGAACCATGTTGCTTGGATGAACTACATATTCTAAAAGTTTTAAAAGAGTAAATGCAACACTTGTTGCCCATGTTTGGTTCCATATTCAATCACATTGCAATTTACCATATGGAGGTTAACCAGATTGAGGCAATCAAATCTTACATACATCCACAATTTGTGTCTTGTATATCAATAAATAGGAAAGGATTTACTCACTGACAGTCTCAGTCACAAACAGTGTGAAAAGCCCAGAATCTGGACTGTCCTGGGCTCTGTTGAATTCGATGATCTCAACTAGGATGATACTATAGTTGGTCAGATAACCCTGGGAAGAATGTGAGAACAGATCAGATTTTATTATCATATCTGTTACATCTTTAGTGCATGGTGTGGGTAGGATTGGTCTCTACTGTGATGCCCCTGTGGACAAATAGCCTCCCAAAGCTCACATATAAAGAACAATCCAGGAGAGGTGATGGCCTCGCATTATTATTGCTGGACTCTTCATCCAGAGACCCAGCTAAAGTTCTGGGGACCTGGGTTCAAATCATGCCATGGCAGATGGTGGAATTTGAATTCAATAAAAATCTGGAATTAAGAGACTAATGAGGAGCATGAATTCATTGTCGATCATTGGGAAAACCCATCTGGTTCACTAATGTCCTTCAGGAAAGGAAACTGCCTTCTTACCTGGTTTGGCTTTCATGCGACTCCAGACAGAGAGCAATGTGGTTGACTCTCAACTGCCCTCTGGGATGGGCAATAACTGCTGGCCCAGCCAGTGATGCTCTCAACCTGTGACTGAATAAAAAAAAAATGCCAAAGAGACAAAAATTTGATGCAGGGTGATGGATCAAGAATAGGGAGTTGGGATTAATTTTGGATTGCAGTAACCAACTCAGATACAACAGCCGTTAAGTTTCTGCGATCCACATATATGTCAAAAAACATTGGGAGATGATGTAATGAAAATGTAACCAGTATTAATATGTTGTTCTACCAAGAGGATGAACAGATAGTTAACATTACAATTGGTCACCGCTCCAAGATACCAAATGTTGCCCACATTGGTTCCCTAATAATATAACTGTTGTCAACAGATTTCACTTGGAGAGTAAGCAGAAGTTATTTCAGGCCAGTTTATCAGCATTTTCTTTTACAACTTGCTTCGCAGTCATTAAGTTCAGCCTGACATCCCTATACATTATAGGCAAGTAATTTGCTTTTTCCCCCAAGAAGAATCAATACAGTTTAATTTCTAAAGCAAGTCTGTCTTCATTAAACATCTTAAAACTCATTGACTTTTTGAACTCAACATTAGACTCAGAAATCTAAAGGAATGACAGCAGGGCACAAAATCACCACAAAATATTTATCAACAAAATATGACCATATTATTATCTTAAATTTCAATATACAATTTCAGTTTTGCATTTGGAAAACAATGATATAATTAACATAACAAGATTCACATTTCCATAATAGGTTTGGAAGAAAATCAAGCATTTGTCAACACCCTCTAGTGCAAAGAATAATTTGACAATATTTGCCAAGCATGTCAATTTTACCAGAAAAGCCTTGGCCACTTTTAGATCCTGATCATCACTGCCACTGAAAAGGACTGACACATTTCATAGAAGTGGGCACCGACATTCACAGTAAATTCCAAAGCTGTAAGTTTAAATACAATGAAGCCACCTGTTCCCTCCATTTCAAGTTGAGCAAGCCTTAAACCAATTAAGCATAAGGATTGCAGTGATTTCCAGATGTTTATCAGAATGGAAACTTTGCTCCATCTGCCACTAAAATTTGGAAAACACACTATCCTACATTGTTTATTTCTCAGTCACTTGGCTTGTCAATTGTTGATTCAGATCCTTCTTAAATTTAATGGCATGAACCAATTTTAAATTGCCGTAGAATTGATTGAATTCGTCTGAGAGGGGGAAATGACTGAAGGAGTCCCACTCTGTGTATATTAAGTCTTTACTTCTTCATCGATTTTTATCTTCTCCATCACTCAAATGAATTCCCTGTGAAAACAATCTCCTGAGTGCTTTCCACTTGCTTTCTTTCTTTAAATGGTAGAGTCACACACAAGGGAATCCAAACAAAAGTGAGCATCAATGTAAACTCTGATTTATTTAATTTGCTAAGGCTGGTCATAAACGTTTTAGGAGGAGAGAAATTGATTACAATCCCAAACATCACATTAATGGCTGTGTCTTATCAGCCTTCACCCTTTTTTGTTAAATTCTAAAAGCCTCAACCACATGGATCTAACATACTGGAACCTAACTATACTCTGCGGTAATGGTTAACAACAATGTGTTTTTAACAGAGATAGTAGGAACTGCAGATGCTGGAGAATCTGAGATAACAAGGTGTAGAGCTGGATGAACACAGCCGGCCAAGCAGCATCAGAGGAGCAGGAAAGCTGACATTTTGGGCCTAGACCCTTCTTCAGAAAGGTCTAATGTGTTTTTAATAGCAGATTTTGGTGACAATTCTTTATCCTTGTTTCTACCTCTTCCTTAGACATGTCTCTTATTCATTCAGCCCATTCTCACCCCTTTCTATCTTGCTCCATCAACCCTTAATCTCTTCTGTCTTCCATCCTATTAAAGACATCCCCCTTTGTGATCCAACTTCTTTGAAGGTGAATTTGAGTGCTCACCATGAATAAGGAGGGTCAGTTTTAAACACTCAGAGGTCAGAATAAATGTCTACTCACGATACCATTCATCACAAGTGTGATTGGTTGGCTGGTTTGCTGGTTTATAATGCAGAATGATGCCAACAGCATTGGTTCAATTCCTGTACTGGCTGAGGTTATCATGAAAGCTGTGCCTCCTCAACCTTGTCTCTTGTCTGAGGCCTACTGATCCTCGAGTTAAAGGCACCACCAGTAACCTCTCTCTACTGGGGGAGTGATCCTCTAGGACTATGGTGACTTCACTGAAACTACTGCTCTGCCCAGTAATGCTTTAGTACCAACAAAACTGATATTTTTATTATCTGATCCAACAATGCCAACAAAACAGCCATTATGGGGATTGTCCGTTTGGCCTAACGTCAACTCATATTATGTCCTAGAAAAAAGGAGGGATAGAAGTAGAACTACTACACCTGGACTGGCTTCAAATTCAGCTCTGTGAGGAGAAAGGATAGTAACCTGAAAATTGTACATTGCTCATCTCTAAGGCCTTTTCAAAAGAACTAACAAACAGACACTGAAATGTTCTGGAGCTGTGAAATGAATAGATGTATTAAGTTTGTGTAAGTTTCCACCATCTTTCCCCTATTGCTCAATAGTACTGTAATGCTGATCGTTTGCAGGACACCAATTGAATCAATGTTTAGTTTCTATACAGCTTGCTTCTATTCCACAGTTTCTCAGTGAATACATTGCCTCAAATAGTTTTGGTGCTGGAAACTTCAAACCTAAACAGAACATGCTTGAGATACTCAGCAGGTGTGGAGACAGAAACAGAGTTAACATTTCAAATCAGTGGTCTTTTATCAGTGTTGACTATTATTAGTCAGAGGCTGCCTGACCTACTGAGTATTTTCAAGACATTTCCCGTTGTATTGAAAATTGCTTCTCTTATCTCAAAAGAAATCTGGCAATTTCTTACCAGTGTCAATGAATGCCTGAAATAATGACACAAGATAAAACCAATGTGATGTGAAATTGTGTCATTTTCTGATGAACCAGTGGTAGTTTGTGGTGAGAAGCTCAGGATACATCACTGTATTACCATAGTGTAAAACTGACAGTGAAAAGGCGAGGTGGTCAACAGGCAATGAACTCTCAGCAATAGTATGCAGTAGCTACCATTGCCAAACGTATTAGACCAGCACACAAAGGTCACAGTCACTTTATCTTGTTGAATCTACATTATCTCCTGACGAGGGAAATGGAGATCTTGCTGTCGCTGGAATTGAATTGAATCGATTATACCATTGAAAGGGAGTTAACTCTCCATTGACATTAAAATGATGGAAGGTAACATTTACAACAGTTGCATTGCTCTGATGGTAATTTTAATGTTACTGGTGCCAGCCAAGCTGAAACACAATGAGGCTAATGACTGAGGGTGACCTGACTTGCAAATATTCCATTGCTCTGACTTTCCATCTATAGAAAGTAGCACAATGAGAATATAAAACTACTTGTAGTATAAGATGTACATTGGCTAATCCAGAATGGAAACACACAAAACTGTATGGCACTTGGAACTTTGGGTTGCAGGATTTAAATAAATGGATGATAAGAGGAGTCTAAAAACATATTGGAAGCATGCCCTGATCTCAAACCAAAAGTCCCTGCTCCCTACTCAGCAGCTCCTCCAGTGGTTACAGCAAGACCAACAACTGAGATTGCAGTTCAGCAAAGTGAAAGTATATATTTCCAACTTGTGTCACTTCTCCATCAGATTTAACTGTGTAATTTATGGAGGGTCCCTTTCCTTGTTGAAAAAACCAATTTAATTTTCAATGTATAAGGCCGTGTGAAATGCAGAATTGTCCATGGGGAGTAATGGGGGTTGAGTGAGTTGCACAGGATCGACAGCATCTACTCCAAATACAGTAAACTTGAGCTCATTTTCATTTGTCATTTGGTTTTTGCTATCATGGTAACAGAATACCATTACCAAAAAGTGATATCTCCTACACCAGACAACCTTAGCAAAAACTATTACATATGGAGAATGCCAAAGCTGCTGCATTTCTGTTCAGTGTTGCTGAACTGGCAAATGACAGACTTTGACACTCGTTGAGTCTTGGGATCTTTTCTCAGTTCACTTCTCCTTGCTGTGTGCTGATCAGCTGCATTTCTTGAACAGAATCCAGTGCATCCGGGATGTCAGCATTGCTGTCAGCTCTTTGTAATTGTTGGTAGCCACCCTCTCTCGGCAGACACATACACCATCCAGCACCTGAAAGATCCAGCAGCTCATAAGGAACAAACATTCTGAACCCATCCGGTTCATCCATGTGTTGTGATAGTATCTTCAGGTACATACAGCTCAGCACAATCCCAACAAACTGCAACAAAGAGTAATTTTCCCATTATTATACAGCTTCTGACAGCAAAGATATTTGTCATACATGAATGCTTCACAAAAATTAAACTTGATCTGACCCACATTTTGTACTTTTATCAGTTGTGTTTTTCTCTCTCTACTAATCATATTTTACTTCTCACTGCTTTTCATGCAAAAGCAACAGGAATTTAATCTCTGGTAATTTTGGATTTGTTTTTCAAAAAGAGGCGTGGAGACAAGACCTTTACCTAGCATATAATTTGCTGTTTCTTTCCACTTTGTTTTCATTCAAAACTATTCTCTCAATTCAAGTGGCATTCTTTTGCAGAATGTGAAAAAAAATGGTCTGGTATAAATGTTTCTTTCTTCTCCTCAAGCCAAGCAAGAAATTAATCATCTGTTTTCAGTTTGCAGGCTGTGCTGGTCTCACACAGCAAGCTGGACAATACAATACATCCACCCACCACTTGTACAATAGTTAAAGGAGGCAAGTCTGTAGGAGGAAAAAGCCTAACCTCTTGAAGGTCATAGTTCAAACATACACTGTTCACTATCCCAGCCCAGTTAGTGAACATATTTTCAAGTTTGCAGATATGTGCATTTATAAATAACGTGAGACAAGAAAAAGTGCTAATTCATCGTCAATCAGACTACAATCCAAATGACATATAGAGAGGAAATAATCATGACTTGGTAATATTACTGAATCACTTTTAATAGATAGAATTCTAAATGGGGAAAGGTGGAAAGTACAATATGTTCCACTCTCAGGATTAACCTTACCAACATTCATGACCTTGTCTTATTAAGTCTTCATCTCTTATGAAATCCTGTGAAGTTTTCTATCTTACTGCAATTACAACATGTGAATTCCTCTTCTCTTTTATTAAAACACTGCAAAACTTTTCAATTCCAGTGAGATATATTTATGAGCAATGATGTGATGAGCACACAAAGAAATCAGTATGAAACTATTTAATTGAATAACAATGAGAAACCACCAACATTGATTTCAGTAAATGCACGCAGAGGCTCAGCTTACTAAAGTATATGGTGGAGATGGTAAGCATGTCATGAATCAGGCTCCTTTTTAATTAAGTCAGTGCAATTCTTGTTAAACAACGAGGAAAAGTACAAAGAAAGGATAATAAAGAGTTACTCAAAGTTTTTATGATTGAAGTTTAGTCATATCATCATGTTCATTATTGGCACTTTTGACTGAAACATTGGTAAACAATGGCCAGAGATAACTGGAGGACTCTCATGTAGCTACAGGAGATTACAATTTTAGACTTGACATCTGCACTTGACGCAGAGTTAATCTGAAGTTAAGACGGCAATAAATTGCAAAGTGGTTTGATCTACAGAAGCGTAGAAACATACAAATGAAGGAGGCCTTTTAGACCATTGTGCCCATGTTGATTTTTTGAATGATTCTTTGTAGTTTATCCCAAACCAACTTTTCGATTTTACTCCTTTAAGCTTTTTAACTTCAAGTCGCTGTCCAATTCACTTTTAAAATAATTTAGCAGTCAACTTCCACTGCCTTTTCAATATTGAGGTCAAGCAACCATGGGACCAAAATTGGATGTTCTAAATTGACTAACAGCCAGAGAAATTAGGCCTGACAGAAAATTGGCCAAATTAAATTAAACAGCAGCCAGCAGCTATTGGCTACAGAGAACAATGGAAACCAAGATAAAAGAGGTGATGAAGGTTCAAGTGAAACCAGCTACACTAGCCCGAGGGCTGTGTATTGGATAAATGTCGATCAGACATTCTGGCATCTTGACTGCCTGAGTATGTGCACTTTATACCTCCCGCTATGGCAACAGTGAAGAGTGAGGGTGCAACCCCATTGGATGATTTGAATCCAGTTCATGATCCCATTGGCCAAAGGCCACTGAACATTCTGGAACAGATAAGAATACATATCTGGATGCTAGCCCATCAGATGCACCCTCAGTGAAGACTCGGCAAAGACTCACAGGGAAGACTTGCAGCAAGATGCGTGGCAGAAGACCATGCGGCATCCCAAGAAGACCCAGGAGAAGATCCACCCTGACCTCTGTGAGATCCCCTTTGTGGAAGACAGCCAGCTCTATCTCAAAGAGGAACAAAATTCCAATGGCCCAACTCATACAGGTGGATCGTTGTGGTTAATACCCTTTCCCAGAGAGATAGAGCTTGATCGAGAGTAAATACTGTAGGAATTTGGGCAATGCTCACATGGTGTTCGAATAAAGAATATTTTGTGCATGAAATCGAGTTGAATCGCAAACCAAATTCTATGTTGCTGTGAGAGATAGTAGGAACTGCAGATGCTGGAAAATCTGAGATACCAAGGTGTAGAGCTGGATGAACACAGCAGGAGCAGGGTCTAGCCCCAAAACGTCAGCCTTCCTGCTCCTATGATGCTGCTTGGCCTGCTGTGTTCATCCAGCTCTATACCTTGTTATCTCTTCTATGTTGCTGTGTCTGCCTCACTGACAAGAGGACTGGATAAAGTGTTTTAAATACACAAACTGGTCGAAGTGTCCAAAGCTCACACAACATTACAGATTCTGACAAAGTGGAAAACTGACTTGAGTGAAAATATTTCTTTAAAATATTTCTATAGGTCTAGCTTACCTTCCTACACTTTTAAATTGATAACTTCTCAATAATGACTCATTTGTCCATAGAGGAAAGCGTTTCTCGACTGATTTATCTAAACCACATTGTGAGAACCTCCTACTCTTTGCTCCAGCCAGAACTGTCCTAACCTTTTTGATCATAACTATTCATTACATCCCTGGAAACTTCTTGTAAATGCTCTCTGCACCCTTTCTGAAAGATTTATATCTTTCTTCAGAGTAATGTCCAGAACTGTCTACAATATTCCAGCTGGGGTTCTGCAAGTAACCTTTGTAATTCTAGCATTATCTTTTTGCTTTTACATTCTATTTGTCTCTTTATGAAACCCAGAAACACCTCATCAACTTATGCTGTCACTTTCAAGATTTTTCTTGAGATGATAATTTTCTGCATATTTACACTTTCAAAATCACTCTATCTGTAATATACTGTCCTTGTCACGCAAAGTCAACCACTTCACGTTTCACTGTATTGAATTTAATTCGCTGTACTTGCGCACATTTCATCCAGGCTTTACTTTCTTGAAGTTTATAACTGTCTGCTAATTTGCCAATCTTTATTTTATATGAAAACTTTGTAATGCTGCTTCATAGACCTCTGTCCAAACCATTTGTAAAACTTGGAAAAGATCAGTAGAGCCAAAACTGACCTTTGGGGAAGATCACTGCCTTTCTTTGTTTGTAAGATGCAACTTTGTATTGATGCCACCACTTTCCCCTTGGTTCCATGGGTTTTCACCTTGTGAAGAAGCCTCCTGTGTGTCACTTCGTAAAATGCCTCTAAAAATCTGCACACCCATCGACAGCACTATCTTGTTTGAGTATCTCCATGACCTCATTAAAGAACTCAATCAAATCAGTCCGATAGAACTTGCCTTTAACAAATCCTTGCCAGGCCTCAAACATACGAATTAGCAACAGAAATAAGACATACAGATCTCTGAGCCTGCTCTGCTAATCAATAAGATCAGTACAAATCAACTCAGTCTGTCCAACCTTTCCTGGTAAGACAGCCCACTTATTCCAGGTATCAGTCTAATAAACCTCCCCTGACCCACCTCCAATACATCTACATGCTTCCTGAAATAAGGAGATCAAAACTGTGCACAGCGTTCAAGATATCGTCTCACTAATGCCCTGTATAACTGAAATATAACATTCTTATTTTTATGTTCAATTCCTGTCATAATAAAGCACAATACGCCACCAACCTTCTTTATCACTTGCTGTGCCTGCACACTAAACTCCTTAATTAAGCATGTTTCCAAATGAAAAGTTCATTTCGTCCCTGATAATGATTTTCAATAACTTCCCCACAACCAATATTTGGCTGAAGGCCTATAGTCTCCCTTTCCTTAAATAGTGGCATGACATTAACAACCATCCAGCCCTCTCCATTCCTGTAATCAATGCTGATTCAAAGATTGTGATCAATGACTTTACTATTTCTATCTTTGCTTCTTTCCACCAACTTGGCTGCATTCCATCTGAACTTGGTCACTTATCAACTTTCACCATTGCTAAATTCTTTACCTCCTGCTATCTTGTCCAAAACTTCCTGTTGTTGAGGGGACCAGATGCCAATATAGACCTGTGCACACAGATACACTAGGGACTCCGTGTTAGTTAGAATATGGATAAGAGTTTTCATTGGACTCAAAATGTTAACTTTCTCCACCGATGCTGCCAGACCTGCTGAATTTCTCCAGTAATTTCTGTTGTAGTTTCAGATTTCCAACATCCATAGTTCTTATTTTATTATGGCAGAGCTTTGGTTGTATTCAAGATTATGGAGGGTGGAAGATGGAAGTCCAGGATGGAAAGCATTGGTAGAGTTGAGGCTAGAGTTAGGAATTGCATGGATGACAATCTGAGCAATATCTGCTCAAGTGTAGAGGTGGAAATGGGTGATCTCATGGAGGTGGAATTCAGAGAACTTTCCGAAGGAGACAATATGAGTTCAGAGGCAAAATTTTGGATGAAGTAAAATGCTGAGATTGTGACCAGTCTGATTCAGCCTGAGACTGTTGCAGAGGATAATTAAATGTATTTTAACACTGAGTGAGAAGTCAATCATTGACGATTGGGATTATGTCTTCATCTCTCAGCAGAAATAATATCTACAAAAAAGCCTGGCTCAACTGCAAATCCATAATTGTTGAACAAAAATGTGTCTCTGATGAAGGAAGATCTTATTTTACTGCTGCAAATCAAGGAGTGTAAGTGGGAAAACAATTTCAGCCAAGAGAGGAACGCAAAAATTTAATTGATGGCACTTCTTACAAATGCTAGGAATTGAGTATTAGTGAACCCAATAATTCTTAAAGCAATCTCAGATCACCAGAATCTGATTGGTCACTGAACG